AGGGACAGCTTGTGGGGACAGGGATAGCTTGTGGGGACAGGGATAGCTTGTGGGGACAGGGGTGGTGTGAGGGGACAGGTGGCATGTGGGGACAGGGACAGCTTGTGGGGACAGGGATAGCTTGTGGGGACAGGACGGCATGTGGGGACATGGGTGGCACAGGGGGACAGGGATGGTGGAGGGACTGTGATGGTGTCAGGGCACTCATTTCTCAACCCACCCGCCCTGCAGGCTCAAGCGTTAGAAGCCACACCAGCACCGTGTTTTCATTTCAGATGGGGGTTTTATTGTCAGTACAGCGGGGTTCAAATGTCCCCTGTACGCTCGGCTGCAGAGCCAGCAGCCACGCAGCGCCGCACGCCGCCATGCCACATCTCGCTGCCCCAGGGAGAGGACGAGGCTGCGGCCACGAGCCCACAAACTGGGGCACGCGCTGCTGGCTCTCTGGCAGGCTGGGCTCTTTTGCACCCCCAAAAGACCACTCGGGTCTGCTCTAAACATCCATACAAATACAACACAATTCCACAGTTAGATTACAAATAGCACAGCACGTCCTCTCCAGCTCCCGCTGCCTCGGAGATCACTTCCAGCCCACGTACAGGACACTGTTGGAGTGGTGCATTGCAGCTACCCTGCCACGGCTCAGTGCAACCACAATACATTCATTTATCAAAGTGAGATGCGTCTGCAGGAAGCGGCACCCAAAACACCATGTAAATGCATTCATCCCAGGCCCTGCGTCAACCTTGCCAAGGCACAAATGTCTGTGAGGTCCAATAAGCCGTGCTCAGGGTTTATTTTTGTGGCTGCATCTTGTTCATCGATCTTACCCTGACTGACTCTAGAACTGTCAAATCCATCATTAGCTCTGTACCCAACTCCCAGGCCTTGCTCGACTAGATCCAGCAAATCTGATGTTGTCTTCCAAACGTCCATCCCCCAACAGCCAGGGAACCAACATTAGGCTGTAGGCTTTAACCCTACAGGGTGTATAGGCTCTGATTCATGCTTGTAAGTCCATATCCAGTTTCTAGAGTGGTCCTGAGCTTTTCTAGTACAGCAAGTGGAAAGCAGAGCCGAGACCTCCACACTGCATTTCAAAGCTGCTGCCTGTCAGCAGCACATCTGTGTAAATGCACTGTCTTTGCACGCACACACACACAAGTTCACCTTCAAACACAGAAATAGTAAAATAAAAATCATCACTGAAAACTGCTGACAAACAGGAAAAAACACCCTGAAATCAGGACAGTAAAGAGTTCTTTCTGGAGTGACCATTTCCTGCAGTGACTTCAGCACAGTACAAGCACATAGTACACGCATATTCCAAAAAGGTGTGTTTTTTCTCATAGAGATCATAGATGTCCTGCAGAGTCCTGGCTTTCCTTCGACAATGATCAAGTTTTACATCAAGCTGAGTGCAAATGCTGTCAAATCAAGGCTTATTCTTTAGCTACTGCACTCTGCGCTGTAAAAAAGAGCTAGTGATGGAGGGGACTTGGCAGGGGGTGGGAGGAAAAGGGCCTAGTTTATGATGACCTTCCAAAAGACTCTGGAAGCCAAAAGCAGGCTTTTCAACAGATTCTCCCGTGTTGGGCTTCCAAAAACTGAGATTCCCAAAAGTCACCTTCAAGGAACTTTAGTATTGCAGTCTATTGAGTGAGTCAATGTAATGAAAAGTGGCTCCCAATGCCCAGCTGGTTTCAACATTGTCAATTTTCCGGGCAAGCTGGAAAACAAACAAACAAACAGGTTAAAACACAATTCTTTGGGAGAAGGAGAAGCATGCAAGGTGAATACAATGCTGAAGGTTATCTCACAACCGGTTATCACCATCGTGGGGACAGCGTCCCTCCGCCCCAAATCACAAAGCATGTGTTGTAGCAAGACGGCAAATCCAGGACCGAGCTACTGCCATGATGACTACTGCCTCGGCACCCTCCTGCCCACTCTCCCCAGCAACCCGTTTTGTGCATCACCTTAAAGACTTGGCTCTTCGGGAAGCCCAGTTCTTGCAGGAGGAAGGTGATGTACGTGAGGTCCATGCAGAGAAAAGGGCTGCTTCCGGGTCTGATTTCCATGGTCTTACATACTAAGGAGAAAGAAAACGGTGTCTGAATGTGCACTGTGGGCTCAGACCTAGCATCAGCCCAGCTTTGAAAAACCTCAGATGAATCCATAAAACACCTCCCGTCAGTTGAGTTGCGCAGTGATGGAACCTGTTACAATAGGGTTGAAATGACATGCACACGTTAGCAGAAGCACAAAAGCTTTGGCACACTGGAAGGAAGATCAAGGCATTCTGTCTTTCCCCTAAGACAGCTGAGTTTCTTTTATCTCTCCAGCAAAGGATGAAAAGGGCCTCCAACTTTTCTTCTATCTACTTCAAGCCTTTAAAAACCTGAGCAATCCCAGGTGTGTTATGTTTCTCAAGCATAAGCACTCAACAGGTGTTGACAAAAACAAAGGGGGAAAAAAAAGACAAAAGAAAGACAAAAGGAAAGGAAAAGAAAAGACAAAACCAAAACAAACTCCACTTCCTTTCTCAGGATGAACTACACAAACAGTAGTCCAGAAATCAGAACTGCAACAATTGTTCAGTCATTAAGTTTACCAAAAAGCCCCGTGTCAGTTTGATCAAAGCCTGAGTTTGTGGTATTAAGAAAAGAACATTTATATTTGTAAATTTGCATAGGTAGTTCTCTCTGCAGCTGATGAAGTGAAAAGCTATGAACCGGTTTTCCCCCTTTTCCGATTAACAATCAAGCATATGAACAAATCTTGAAACAAGAAGAAAAATTCAACCAGGTAAGAACAGGTTATGCTAACAGGATGAGAACCCCCACATCTATTTTGAAAGCATGATTTCAGGACAACTGTTAACTGGCAAGTTTATTAGTAATTCTTCAGAGAATTGTGAAATATATAGGATGTGTCTTATGTGGGCTGCAAAAGCAAGAATTAATATAAAAATAGTTGAGATTTTCAGAAATAAGCAGAAATGTTGGTGAGATGCTATGGAGAGAGGTGCTCAAGAGAGGTGCACCTCTTTGTAGAGCAGTATGTACTTAAAACAAAAAAAATCAGGCTTCTCAGCATGTCACACATTTGCCACCTGTGTATGAATTTACACACAATTACTAGTTTGTGTTTGACTGTATTTTACTCACCGTATTTAGCAGCAATTTCAAAGTCACCAACAGTTAAGCTTCCTCCTTTTTCTTGATCTAAAAAAAAAAAAAGTGGTCTTTTATGGTTTTTGTATAAAGGCAATTGTAGATTCAAGTCGTAAAAGTTGTTCGGAAATCAAACCTTGAGCCACTGAAATCAATGACAAAACTCATACTTGCTTTAAAGAACCTTTGAAAGATTCTTAATATAGATTGAAAAGCCTCGTTTTATGAAGAACTTTTAGCCTCATTTCCTAAAGAATCATAGTTAACAAACTCTCTCACCTTGTCCCCATGTCTGTGCTGCCCTGCCCAGTGATGCCTGAACGCAGCTGACCAGACTTGACAGGGCAGTGGTGCTCTGCAACATATTAAATCTGAAATTATTTATAAAACAAAGTAGCTGAGGAGGGGGGTATGTTTGTCCAAACTAGCTTGACATCTCATCATCTGCTTTCTATCACTGAACACGACAGCCTTCTGTACACCAGCATACCACTGGAAAAGAGATGGGATGCATTCTGAATACATTTGGAATTATCTGAAAGTCTTCATTCCATCTAAAAAGGTCACTGAACCAAAACACACAGCCCAAGATCACTTTACTGCTTTACCACCCAAGAAATTTGTTTATTAATGTGAGGGCTTTTTTCTATTTTGGATTGTAGAGTTAATCAGACAACGATTTCTGAAATGCAGATTGTTTATAAACCATTACCAGCAGTTGCAGGTCCTATTTCACAGCCCCAGACCCTTCTCTATAGAAATTAAATAGCATTCAATATCCACTCGAGACCAATGCTGCACAGCAGTGTAACAAAAGGCTAAGGTCTATGACAGCTGAGCAAAGCATTATGATGTGTATAAGTGTTCCCATTTCTTCCACAGCTTGTCATTTAAAATGAAATGAAACCAGGAGCAGACGTACCTATGAGACCAACCTCTGCTGCACGGTCATAGTAGTAGGAGAAAGTGTAAAAATCCAAGTCCTTCACTTCCTCAGTTTTATGCACTTTTTTGTAGAGCATCTTTGCCACTTTGTTAGAACAAGACTCATACAAAGGCTCACCTAAAAGAAGGCAAAGAAACCCAGCATATTATAGGCAGAGAGTTAAATATACATACAATTAATTTAGGATCTGCCAGGAAACAGGCTCCCTTTTGCACAATAGCACTTTGTAAGCTCTTCACAGAGACCTGAAATCTGCATCTTCTTCCAGTGGCAACACGTACCGTCCTCAGGTCGTGACTAAGTATGTGATAGATCAGAGATGGACAACATCATTTGAGGCAGAAGGATTTTGAAAGACCTGTTCAGGGATTGCTCAACTCCATCCGCATTACTACCAGCAGCTTTACTGACTGGACAGATGCACCATGGCACAAGAGGAAAGAGCTGCAGAATCTCTTTAACAGTACATCAGGAGGAGCCAGACAGAACAGTAAACAGAGAATCTAGTGTCTTTGCAAGAGGCTGAGAGTATATCATTTACTCTGCTAATAGCATGCTGGCCTAGATAGGAAGAATGATAAATCACTATACCTGCCTTCTGTCCTTTAATTTTGTACACTATCTCAGCATGTTGCCATTCAGATTTGAAGCCAGGTGGTAAACAAGGGCTGATCAATTCCTCCCCTTCTCCTACTGCAGAAGTAAAACAAAGCCACATTAGGGAAAAACATAAGGAGTTCATTTCAGATCCCTCACCCCAGCCCTGCTCCATACCATCCCACAGCCTCAGCAAGGCACTTCCAAGCCCCAGTCACAGCTCAGATGTCCCGTGCCCCGCCAGGGCTGGCAAGAATACAGGTCTCCTGGGATCTAGCAGTGACACCTCCTGCATTCGTCTCAAATGCACCCCAGCCATGGTGACAGGAGTCTACATATCACTCAGGAACCTTGAGCCCAGTGGGAGGGGGGCAGAAAACTCCTCTCCCCACAACAGGGCTATGTACCCTATGCTCAGAGCCAAGACTTCACGAGTGCCCGTAACTTACAGGGTTTTCCCTCAACTCCTCCTAAAATGGCGAGCCTTGCTGACATCAGCCCGAGTCCCAGGTAACTGCAAAGGGATAAAAGCCTCTGTGAACAACAAACATCCTTCCCCTGATACTCCACCGACAACTTGGCTGGGACATGCCAGTCTCCTCTACATGGTCCCAGCAAAATGGCTCGAGTCAGCAGCTAATGCACATAAGGGGAACAGTGTGACAACCCACTCTCGTATTACCCCTACCCAGAAGGATAATCTGTCTTTGAAAAAGCACAGGCAATAGTAATAGTAACTGTCAACAGTAATCTGGCTCTTGAAGAACTGGGAATGCTGAAGGCATTCCCCTAACATTTCTCCCACCCTCCTCAAAGGCAGCACAGCCTCTAGCATACTGAATTGACTCTTTTTGAGTCCAAACACACCCCACAGCAAACACAGGTGGAAAGAAGCTGCTTCCCTCTGCCCAAAACACTGGGAGCAGGGGAAGACAGCGAGGAGGACAGCAGAGACAAAGAGCTATGAACTGACTGCAACCCCCGTTCTCCATCCTCCTGCACCACTCGGCACTGAGGAGGTAGAAGAGTTGGGAGTGAAGCTGAGCCTGGGAAGGAGGGAGAGGTGGGGGGAAGGTGTTTTTTATTTTGTTCATATTTCTCATTATCCTACTGTTTAATTGGCAATAAATTAACCTCTCTAAGTCAAGTCTGTTTTGCCCATGACAGTAACTGGTAAGTGACCTCCCTGTCCTTATCTTGACCCATGAGCTTTTTGTCCTATTTTCTTCCTCCTGTCCTGTTGATGGGAGCGATAGAGCGGGTTGGTGGGCACCTGGCGGCAGCCAAGGTTAATCCACTACAGTGATGTGGCTCAGGTTTCTCTGCTTCTTCCCAGTACTCATTTGCAAGGACCCCACTTCAGCAAAACACCTAGATCTCACTGGCCTCATAGAAAGCTTCTATCTGCACAGTGTGCTCTCTTTCCCACAACTAACCTGTACGAATACAGCTTGTAGGTGTTGTTAAACATCTGAAATGAAGTTGTGTGGCCAGCTGGTGATGTCTGGAGGGCTGCCTAGAGGGAGAAAAAGATGCTCTGCAAGGTTTCTGCCAGCAGCAGCAAACATCAACAACACAACCTTCCAAAACATTAGGAAAAACATGAAATAATCCCAGCATGATTCAGAGAGAAATGATGAATTTGCAAGTATTTTGATTTGACTGCTGATACACAAGACAACGACAAAACCTGGAGCTAAAATAGTGTCTTCACATGACAGAGTCTAAACTGGTTACACTCCTATTTGTATCCACATCAACTTGGTGTATAAAAGAATTATTTTAATTAAAAAGGAATCGTTATTCCAGCTCTTAACTGCTTTTGTCAAGAGGCTACAACAACTGCCTCTTCACGTGATCCCTACCAGGGAACACTGTGTGCAAAATAATATGAAAGCCAGGCACGCATTAACTTCCTACTCAAGTTAATTCAGCTGTGAACTTCCACAAGCCAAAGGAAAAGCACATCACTCTGCTTGCCAAGGAACAGAGTGAGGACCAGCCTGTGATCTAAAGAAATGAAAGGGTAATTATCTAAAGCACTTTGCAGCCTCTTCCCCAAGCACACCAGCACGGCTAGCGCATCTGTGAGGAGCAAAGCCCAGGCCACGATGCTATCCATGCTGCTCATATCTCAACACCATCCCTAAGTCCAGAATTTCCACATCCCAGACTCTTCACATCCCCTGCCATTCTGCTGTAAGAGCACAATGTCTTGCCCAGGCTGGGACACTGGATACAGCATCCCAACCCTCTGCTTTTGGGCAGCTTTACTGTGAACAGTATCTCTGCTCAGGCCAGAGCCTTACGACTCCACAGGGCTTCCTGCTCACAGAACACCTATAAAAATGCCACAGCAGGAAGCTGAAATGACACACATCAGCATGTATTTTTTACTGCATAATAACAGTTCCTCCTTAGAAAGCATTAATTTGCAACTGAGTGAACTCAGGAAAACCAGAAACAAGGATTGAGAAGGCATCTTACTATGTTCTTAAAACCCAGTAGAGGCCAAATGTTGCACTTGAATTCATTAACAGCATTGCCTTTTAGTTCTTCATTATAAGCAGCACAAACTGAGAGTCAAGGATTAAGACGCTCAGGCAAACGTTGCATTTTCCCCAAGATAAAGCAGCCATGGCAGATTCACCACATGCACCACCGACCCATGGAGCTGGAGTAAGAGGACTGACAAAGAGTTGCAAATGCCTCCGTGACTGACTATAACAAGGCAGATGTCACCAGGTGACCTGGGTTTTTCTGTCAGAAGCGTGGCTTCACGTCACACTGACAAACTCTTGGTCTGTTTCCAAGGGAAACAAATCTGAGCAGTTACCGATTTCTGCACCAGCATTTCCCAACAGTGTGCATGTTCACATTACCTCGGTGCGGGGAAGGAAGGTGATCTGTGTTGATCCACCACCCAAATCCAGCATCCCTACACTTCTCTTCTGTGGATCATCTAGGCTACCTAAAATGTGTGACAAAACACAGAAAGCCATGGCGGGTGCTGTGAGAAACTGGCTAGGAACAAAACCAGAAGTACAGTGGTAACAAAAGAGAACAATCTATCCCCATCTGTCAGCTTCCAGCCAGCACGTGATCTACTGGGCACTTATTTTGGCTTTATCAGGGTGATCTGAAAATCTTTAAGTGACAGAGTTTCTCTTATTTCTCTGGTGGCTGTTCATGCCCTAATTACAGCAGCTTTGGTTACTGGATTCCTAAACATTTTTCAGTGGATGCAAGGACCCTTTTGCAAACTCTGCTCTGGTAACCACTTTGTAACACAGAGGAATGTGGTTTTCTTGGCCACCTCTCCCTGATGCCTTAGTGATATTTTGCAGATTCCTATGGCCAAAGGGATGACGGACTGAAAAGAGCTGGCCTAAGAGACTCAGCTCTCTTGGAATTCTTCCTGCTGCCAGCCCAAACCTCTCTTCTCATTTAAATCCAGTTCTTCTCAGTTAGATCCTGACAACACTAGTTTGTGCCAAGTACCTTGGTATACTTCATGATAGCTGATGTTTGAAGATCTCTGATATTTCCTGTGAGCATAAAGCTTTAGAGCACTTGTCGTATTGCTCCACACACTGTGTGCTGAACAGAGAGCTCGGATGGCAGACTGCTTTACTTATTGTCAGAGAGGGCTTCAGCTTAATTTTTTCTTTACTCTTCAGCTACCCTTTTCTAACTCAGCAGTGTAAACACTTGTGGTATTTCTATGTTACTAAACTGTAAGGAAGTAGCATAGCACTTTTTTTCGCTCTGTGCAGCTGCCAAGCTCATCTAGAATATCCACATTAAAAATTTAGCCAGAGCTAGTGGCAGACTCTGAAAAGGAATAAAATGCTCTGGTACCCTACAGGTAATTGAAAGAAAGGCTACATTAAACATCTAGGAAAAAGGATTAAACTCCTCACTCTGTCAAGTAAATGTCCAAAATCCTAATGATTTAATAGGCCATGCCAAAAACAACTGCTGACTTATTCCCAGATCCTTCTTTCTCCTACTCCACTCCAATGAATAAGCAAATCCCATGCAGGGGCAGAAAACAGCATGAGTTTCACAGCATCGGTCATATGCTTATGCACATGCTCATGTACACATACCTGTTAAAAAATTTATTGTGATCCAGGCTGAAATACCTAATAAGGAAAAGATTCAGAAGATGCACTGTTAGATCATACCATTTCATTTTATCTAACAACAGTAATAAATAAGGTGAGCCATATTACGAGGTCTTCCTGCTTTAGGATCTGTTCAGCCGAAGGCATTTTTAAGTTTTCTCATACAGTTTAACTGCACTGTCTAAACAAAATAATCAGCAAACCAGAGCCTGTCATCCAACAATAGACAGAGACACCAGAGATCATATGCCACAAGCTCCCTTGTCCCCCTTTCACAAATAGAGCACTTCCAATACAAAGTCTCCAAAGGATGCTGAGCTGAGAGCTAAGCAAGAAGGACGTTCCAGAAGGGTGAATAGGACTGTCTCTGCTGAGCTCCCCTGACCCACCTTGCCCCAAAGCCAGTGTTTCCACAACTGTCAATGGCTGTCAAAAAACAAGATTAGATGCCTTGAACAAAGAGAATGACCTACTATACCAGAGCTTATGCGATATTTGGAAGAGAAGCCCCATATATGAAATGCCTGGAGAACTCTGTATTTCACAGGTCAAAAACTTAGGCGAGAAGTCACAAAGGCTTCAGTCCTCAGCTAAAAGACAAGGAAATGACTAACACTCACATTGTTCATTTTCTAGGAAAACAACCACTGGTAGGCTTTTGTTTGATGTCAAGCACTCGACTTTCCTTTTGAATACTAAGAATTTTCATCTTTTCAGTGTTCTAATTTTTCCTATTTTCCTCTAAGCATTTCTGTGAGCCGCACTGTTTCTGTCCTCTTCTTGTTTTATAAACTTTTTTCTCCATAAATTAGATGAATTAGTGGGCCTTCTGTTAACAAATTCAAATATTTATCCATGTGGTTAAAACTCAAGGCATGCTAGGGAACATGGTCCAGTTCAACCCTTGGCTGAACCAAGGCTGTCATTGCTATTAATGATTTTGAAACAAAACAAAAAGAAGAATTACAATGTCTTTCTTCCATTAAGCAGTAAAAAAGAAACTCATAAACAGCTCCAAACAGCTCCAGCTATTTTAAAGTTTGGTTTCTAAGCAGATTTAAAACACATTTCAACACTCAGTTACTTAGAATTTAGACATGTTTCTTCAAATTATTTTAAATCAAGACTGATGCTGGGTTCTGTCCTCAGCATTTTTTGATGAGCATCAACTTACTTCAGCATGTATCTTCTCTATGTAACACTTTTTTCAGATTGAACTCACAATCACACTCATTAGATCAGTTATAATTACAATTATGACCAAATACTTCCAGAAAGCTCTGATGAGCATTGTCAAGAGTAGGGTGCACAAAACTAGTTGTTGAAGACCATCTCAACAAGCAGATACGCAGAAACCTTTCCAGAAGTGCTGACTGCACAGTGGCTTCCTGGTGATCCTACAGGAAGTGCCCAGCACTCAGAGTTTTGAGAATCAGGAGAAGAGTTCAGGACTTCAAATTGGAAAACGTAGCACAAGATCTCTTTGGCAGGCACTGCCCGAGGCAGCATAAAAACTGTCAAACCCGCTGCTTGTGGGTTCCCACTACAGTGAGTGGGGACTTGTCACA